CAAGGAATCAAAGTAATAGAGACCCTCAGAATGAAGTCTGAGCAAAGCTGCTTATTAATGAAGAAAGTGGCTGAACTTGACTTAATGTTTTGTGATAAGATATTGGTTGTGTTTTTATCTTTAAGACTTGGTGATAAAAGGACAATAAAATTATTGGGGTGGGGAGGGAAGCTGGACCTTATGGTTCACCTAAAAAAAGGCCTTCCTCTGCTTTCTTAAATTTTCAGTTGACCCTCTCCTAACATCTCTAGTAAAGTAAATGGAACATAAATTTGGCAGCTCTTTGCAGTTCAAGGGAAGTCCTACCTTGCCTCTCCAAAATTTTACCCTCCCGGATTACCCTCCAAATAGCAAAATGAAGAAATCTATAACCCTTCATTCCATAATTTCAAACAGTCCATTAAACTAATTTGGTAACAGCATCAACAAAGATTTAGGCAATGTTTATTAAACCACAAATACACAAATAATTTACAGAGAAGAAATAAAAAAAGACATCTCTGTATAATTTTGGACAATACAGTATGTGTTCAACAAGTCGTAAACTGTGTTTGTGCGAGACTATCTTTTAATATGCATCTCTATAACTGTTATTATCCATATTGGTCTATGCTGGACGTGAGGGGAGGTCCACACAAGGCAGGCTGCGCTCTGCTTACCACACGCGAGCAATGAAAGAGGCGAACATTTGAGGGCCCAAAATGAACACTACTTTTGTTGATTTGGCATTCACTCGGCTATCCATTTTTCAGGGAGGAAATTCAAGTGAAGCACTCCAAGTACCCGTAGAGCACTGAAGGCAATTTCCCCTCAGTCAAGTGGCTGAAACCCTCTCCAACTGAACAACTTCCTGCATTTAGTTAGCATCCCCCGCTGACACCCCTGCTCAATCATCACCCTGCTTAGTTGGCATCAGTCACAACCTCTCAGTGGGTCGCTGCTCTTTCCAGAATGGTGATGAAAGGGCAATGACCACAGCTCTGTCTGGGGATATAATCTGGAAATAAAGGAAAAACACGGCACTGAAAATCACAGCCTGTGCCTTTAAGTTTAGTTTGTTCTTTATGTAACATCTCACGTTCTGTTTTCTGTGGATGTAGCTGCTATCTGTGCAGCTCAAACAAGACACCAACATTTCCATATATTTCAATGATGGTGATTAAGAGTTGACATGTTGATTGGAGCGTTTATACGGCTTTTGGGATGACTACAATGTTAAAATGAACTCTGATGAGTGTGCACTTCCAGATGCACCACTAAAGTGTTGATATTTACACTCAAAGTGCAATTTACACAGAGGATGTTTCTGTGAAGCATCTCAGCAAAAACAGAAGCATGTAGAAAATCTAAATATCATCACTGTGTCTTATGTAAAAAGAGATTCACATTTTGTCACCACACCTGTTTTATTTAATGTGGGTTCGATTTTTTGATGTCAACTTTAAGGGTAATAAATCACCCTTTTTGAGTCCACAGAGATCACAATCATCTCCACATGCAGTATAGTGACGAGAAGATGAATTCTTGTACATATGAGTATGAATCTCATCAGACTCTGACGTCCTGTCAGTATGTCAGATCCCCATGGTGGTTTTAGCTTTGGCCCATTATGGCTTCCACAGAGCTGTGAGCTGACTGAGGGGTCTCAGGGGACCATTACATCCTCAGGGAGCCTATTAACCCATTATGTTCACCTCCAGAGCAGCGTTACGGACAACAATCCCATGCAAGCTGGAAGCTGAGCCACAGGAGGCTACAGCTGCTTGGAACAACCCTGTGTAGCCCGAGGCTCTGATCGGCACCATTCCCATGCCATGCCTTGCTCAAGGGCAGTTTGTAGAGAAGTAAGGTGATAAGGTCAAGTACGTGGCATGGCCTCTTTGGTGTACATGTCATAGATATCGCATTGAAGGAAAGTGAGAAATCATTTGTGATTACAATGTAATCAAGCAGCGTCAGAGCCAGGATATTACAAAAACTGGAGCCATTATGAGGATGGTTTGTTTTCCTGGTTTTAGAATAAACTTTATTGCTGCTATCATTTACAGGGTCTTATTCTTTTAATCTATATGTTGCCAAAATGTATGCATTGAAGCAAATGAAGCAGGTCCCATAAATGATGTGATTATGTTAAAGTACTGTATATTACACTCTTTTATTCAAAAATCCTATTTTCCTTTTAGCTACACTTTAAAAAAGACAAAAAACAAAGTATCATGCTGAAATATAACAAAGGACATGACATACTGGAGCTGAAGCCTACATTTCAACGTAAAATTTGATGTAGTGATCAATATTCCAGCATATTATCAATCGCAGGTGGTGATGGGGCAGTGGATAAGACACATGCCTTTGGTGTGAGAGACCCAAGCTCAATTCCCCGCTGTGACACATCCACCAATGTGTCCCTGAGCAAGACACTTAACCCCTAGTTTCTCCAGAGGCGTGCGACCTCTGACATTCTCAGCAATTGTAAGTGGCTTTGGATAAAAGCGTCAGCTAAAAATGTAAATGTCATTCATGCATCTAATTTCCCAGAAAACTGAAATAGTTACAGATTATAATCTATAGGTCAGGTAAGAGGATTTCTTATCACTCTTCTTTGTTTTCCGTAGATAGTTTCATAATAGACATGACGGTGTAACATATGTAAATGAAGATTTTGTACTCCATCATGTTCAGTAAACTTGTTCTAAAAGCTCTACCCTGAATAATAATTTAAGTCAAACTCAAAGACAATTTGTTCTGCAGCCTTAAATTAGTTATTTTGCAGTTATAATACTAACTCACTACATAATATATGTTAAACAATAAAAATAAAACAATTAACAGTTTATCTAATTTAATGATAGCTGTGGTACAGACTTTTCAAGACAACAAAAAGATACATTTTTTTATTTTTCAGGGCCTTCAACATATTGCAGGTATGATGCCAAACAAGCACATCTCCGGAAGACATATTAGACAAAAGAATAATTACCATAATCATGATTATTTTTCTCTGCATTTTAATTAGCTCTATGAAGCTCAATTAAGCTCTTCAGTATGAGCGCCTATTCAGTAAACAGCTGTCCACCTGTCTTCTCGTTCCTGGGAAAAGGCTCCAGCGCCTGTTCACGCCGAGGTACCATCAGCAAATTGGGTGGGGGGGTCAGACGAGGCCCCTGCAGCCTGCAAGGGGCCCTATGTATGAGGGGCTATTAATGCCAAAGAAAGGCAGTCAAACAGGAAGGACATCATTAAGCCACGCTAATACCTTGCTTACCAAAGTTAAAACTATTACTATCTATTAAAACAGAGATATTAATAGAAAATAGACTGTAATAAATACTCTATGATGAGAACTGAAACATGAATAAATGTTTTATAATGAATACAGACATCACTTTGAACAAATCAAGCAATGAAAAGATCAGTTCTAAGCACAGCGTTAATTATTACTTCCACACATTCAGTGATTCCTAATTAATATATAGAATGCCAATGATTTAAACTCATATTGTACTTTGGTGAAGATAGAACCTCACTTCGCAGGCTCTTTATCATTAAGGCATGCTTTCTATCTCCCAAGAGACAACAGTAGACAAAATAAATATGTTGTGGCTCTAACCAGGTTTTGCTTTACTAAATCAGCAAGTGGCAAATTGCCCTAAATTATCCTAGTCACTACAAGTCTTAGCTAAGTGTGATATATGCTGTATATTGTTATTTTCAGACTAAGTTAGCATACTAAAAAACTGCATCACTTGACATGTTCTAGGACACTCTTATAATTTGGGGGCTTCACGTGTATGGCAGGGCATATATCTGTGTCAAAAGGGATAGAAGAGAGCGTCATTGTTCCCGGATTATAAACCAACAAATCAATTGATAGGTTAAAGAAACAAACAAGATTACCACAGTTCCTATTTGATACAACCTCAAAATGTAATGTTGCCGTGGAGTCAGCAAAGTAGCAGTGGCTCCAGATTTGTGTGTGTTTTGGCGATCTTCACCATGAATAAAACATACACAACATCTATGACATTGGTCAATCGGACGCTGGTGGTTAATCTGTGATGAGGTTTGTGGGGAAATTATTGTTATTACAGTTGCTTTCGCATGCTTGAATCTTTTTGAGTGGTATCTGCCAACATAAGATGAAGCAATCATGAGTTGCAGGAGTTATTCCTTTTATATCCATTCAAAGGAGTTCTTACATGTTACTGATGATGCGTCTTCCTCTTTCTTCTCCTCCTCCTCAGTGGCATTAATCACCCTTCATACTGCGGCCCAGAGGAGACCATATCTAACAAGGACACCCGCTTTCTTCGGCTGTTTGATCCCCCAAAAGTGAAACTGTGTAATTTACGTGGTGAGAGACAAACCCCATCTGGATTAGAGGCATTAACCCCTTCCACTGTGATTGCTACACAGTCATTAAGCCTTCGAGAAAAAAACGGGCTAATGATGACTAGTCTTCATCATAACAAGCAAAGGCTTGATTGCATAGCCACTTGCCTCTTTCTCACATTTTACAAAATTACTGAATAATGGTAATAGCCTAAAGAGTAAGAGACTTCCAAGGAAAAAACACATGAATTGATCAATTATTTTCTGAAAATGTAATTTCTTTCTATTGATATTGATGTGAATTGTGATGATCTCTGACTGGATGTCTTTACGTCTAACCCTCATCATAATACAATATATACAGTTTAATATTACATATTAAATGAGATGTGACACACTTAAACAATTTATTTCAATCCAATAATGTGTTTAAAAATATTTTCAGTTCAAATACAATTGGTTCAAACAGTGAACTCAGCAATCAGCAATTATCCATCGAAAAATCTATTGATTTCGGTGTAAAGGTTGGACATAGAATTAATGTAAAGGTACATAACTAAACTAACAGGGACAGAGCTATGTATAAAGTTTAATATGAAAAATTTAATCACAGAAAATACCACACATAAAGTATTAGGAGATGATACAAACACCATTATGTCTGTGCATTGTTTTGCATAAAATCCTTTATTTAAAATAAAGAAAAACAAATTTAGTTTGCTATTAAAATGTAACCCATTTTAAGACTCAGTTGGCTCAGTTGTATTGAATAGAAGATTCTGTCTCTGAAGGAATCTGCTTGTCTTTGGTTTGAACTGGCTGCTGAAATTAAATTCTGTCCTCCATCAAATAGAAACATCATTTCCCAATGCAGTCCCTTCACAGGCCTGTAGCTCAGAGCAACATAGCTCTGGTTTGACCTCTAGTGGTCAAAGATGTCACTAACCTGTAAAAGGGAGTTTCTTTCATTTTGGCAGGAAAATAAGTACATGTAAGTTTTACACATAAAAACAGTCATTTGGCAGTTGACATGAGGAACATTTTTATTTTTTACAACCTAAAGGGTGTAATACTGGAGTGCTTGGATATCAAAACCTCAGTATGTGTGTGTGTCTGATTCTAACTGTCAAGCTTCTGAGACTCTTCGGCCCTCACAGCGGTCAACTGGCCCTCGTGACCCTCCTCTTCTCCAGGCACCTGAGACAGACAGAAAGAAAGAGAATGAGATAATTACATTTCTAGACTGTTATGACCTCATCTAGTCTCAAACATCCCTCCACTTTCCAGACTAAACAGTCTAATTGTTGCTTTTCAAGGTGCACGTTAGCGGCCACTTCCTGATTTACAGTCATTAATTTACTTGTGGTGTAAATGTCAGTGTCGTCCAGGCCTCTCTGAAGTGTAGCATGTATAGTGCATTTGTCTTTACATAAAGATTGGAGTTTAGGACAGAAAACACTAGCACTGAATTACTTATTATTGGCTGTCATTTATGCAAGCAGAGAATCTAAACAAAAGACTAATAGTAAAATTGGAACCTTGCCACTTACGTTTACATGATACTATAGTACCACATGCACTTTAATAGACTACTTGTACTCAAATATACATAAAACAAAAGCATGATGAGCCACAGACATGATGCACATTGCACTGTGGGGAATGCTAAATGACATCAGCCTAAAGTGAGAAGGTGTGACATCATCCAGGAGGGATTCTGTTCCTGTGATCCACCTGGTTGATAACATCGTGTGGTGGTTAATTTGCTCCACCTGGTGGTCAGACAGCATTGCTCTCTCATCTGACAGCGAGTAGCAGGTTAGTGCAAAGTCACCATCTTGTGGTCGTAAATTTAATGCTACACTCTAACCCTTTGTGTGTGTTTTTTCTTTCTGCTTGAAAGTCCAAGTAAAGTGAACAGTGTCTTAAAAATAATACAATAAATTACAACAGGTGTAATGCTTTATTTTACAGGTCAAAAAAATCTAATTAACTTCCCAAGAAGGTTCGTTAAAAGACCCGTCTCATTTAAACCCAAATAAATATTTATAGATCCTTCATTGATGATTGGAACTTTTATTTTCCAAGTATGTTGAATGGTTTGCTTATCTGTTTACAAATCTCAGAATTTTCCATGTTCAGCCACCCTGCTGTGACTAAAAGACCCTCTAGGGTGTGTTACCATTTAAATGAAATCTATTCATTGGCAATGTACTGATTCAACACTGTCTATATTTTGCCTTTAATTAATAGGTCACCAAATTACATGCCTCGGTCCGGGAAACTAATTAGAAAACTATTGGGAAAATAGCAGCACCAATAAGTGCAATTACAACTCTTTTGTTTAGTCCCTAATTTCATAACGATTTCATTATAATTTAATAGTTGTTATTCTACTGGAAACGCAGTAGAATAACAACTAAGTAATTTGGTTGTAATTATAAGAACAATTTGGATTTCAATGACAGAGCAGTTTCATTTTAACACAAATGAATATTAACTTACAAATCTAGACAAATCTCCCATTTGTTGTATGTTCATTTTAACATTTGAATGTTCAGCTGACCTTCTGTGATCTGACTGAAAGACTCTTAACATTCCTGTAAAATTCATGCAAAACGCCTCTTCAAGGCATATCCAAAGTAAGTGATTCACTGTAAGTGCTGCTGGAATTGATTAATATAAGTTTAACCACACTACAACTAATATATTTCTCATTGCAGCTTGAAAATGCTTGCTAACGAATGCATGCAGACAACTATAGCTGGGACTTATTAGCTGGAAAACACTGTGGGGCCACAGGATAACGCATTACGTAGTCCTAGTTTTAATTTCATACCAATACCATGAAAAATGAATATTTTACACAGTGTATGTCTTAGTGTATTTTTTCTAAAACAGCACCGGCCCTTGGCGGCAGGCGGCTGCTGCTGCATCGCTCCTATCAGCCGGCAGCTCGACGCAGATGTGTTTTTTAGCTGGTAGATCATGAACTTCCTACTTAAAGCTGGATATCTTTATTTTCACAATTTTATTGGCTACACGAAGTGCCGGTCATCGGCACAATTGCTTGCAATTGGTTCGGCCCACCCAGGGAATAATAGGGGCTGGCCCTTCCTTACAGCTCGGGCTCTCGTTGGCTGTTGAAGGCTGTGAAAGGGACATGTGAGCTCTTATTGGGTCGGATTTGGTGTCACTCGAAAGGTCAGAGCTCAGCGGCTAATTTGAATACAAGCTATCGTAGTTACATTACATTCAAATCAGAGTTATTACGGTTACCATGAGAGACGAGCCACGTCTGCTGGCAGATATGAAAAGATGCGGCAGCAGTCCCTGGGAATTTACTGATGGAATAATGTGTTTTGGACTAAATGTTTTTACTGGATTGGATCGTCTGGACCTTTGACAACGTAAGAAGACCGTTTTTGTTGGAATATAATGGATCGGTGGATTACTATGAGGCTTCATAGGGGAGTCGCGTCACTTTTGATTGTACTGGTTGGTCTGACAGAAGCGCTGATTGGACCCGCTGTGATGATTGTGTCTTGAAATGGTTTGCATTGGTCGAATCACGAGGAGTTTAGCTTTCAAACGGTTTATCATATGAGTATGAAGTTAAAGTTGGAATGTTAAGAGGTTTTAAATGATGCTCGCAATCAGTTAGTAGGAAGGATACTAACTGAACACTGTCTCAATTTTCCCTTGAGCTAGCAAGTTAATGGAGTTATTTCCAGGAAACTTGATGATTCGGAAACAGACTTGTAAAATAAAGGGTTACCATCTCAAATTGTCAAACTCACCTCCCAGTAGATGTTGTCCTCAAAGCAGATGGTGTCAGGAGGAGTACCAAAGACAGGCAGCTTCAAAATGAAACCTAAAACAAGCAGGAGTCCTTGTTATTTATATGTACATTAAGGACAGGCAGAAACACTCTGAATGTCACTTACAAGAAATGTTTTCTGCTATATTAGGCCAATAATAGTATTTTTAGTAAAAGTACAACATCAGCCAGTTGGTGTTTTACTTGAAATGAGAAAGCAACTTCACGTTCATTTGTAAAATAAATGTCTCACTCCATGTAGAAATCAAAACATCTGATCCAGTTACTGATGTTATCTGTCATGTTTGCAGCTGCTTCCTCAACTCAAGTTGCATGAGTTCATTGATGATCAACAGGCTCAAATAAATGAAGTTAAAGTCTGATTCTGGCATTTTATTGTCAATCCTGTCTTCTAAAACTGGGCATTAGAGAGAGAAGCTGAATCAGCTTAATAGTGAATGTAGCAGTGGTAGTCCAGACAGTAAGAAAGTATACTGGATTTAACCATTGCCATCACTAAGATAACAGAAATGACTGAATGATTCTGGAGGTGGAAGGTTCAAAGACAATCAAACATAACAGGGACATAAATAACCATGTTCCATGTGAACGTCATATTCTAAATATGCCTGGTTAATATCCTGGTTTTGAGTCTTTAGACTAATGTGTATGTGAACATACTCCTTCTGCGTTACACTGCTGCTAATACTCATAACTTCAGATGCCTTTCCAGCCTGACAAAAACTACAGAAATCACATTTTATAATTACCTTAGTTATATTAGGACAGAGTAAATATAGGACTATGTGAAGCACTGTAGTTGCCAGTTGTAGTTCAAACAAAATACAGTATTCACTCTGCAGGCAAACATTTGCATGTGTCTGTGTGTTTCACTGTATGTCTGAAGTTAATTCGACAATGGACAGCATATCGGGGATTATTTTTAATGTGGTCTCATGAACGTCTGTTATTGAGATGCTCTTCAAATAATTGTCAGGTGTACCTAAGACATGGGATGTGATGTTGAACTCTCCAGAAAAACCAAATTAAATCTTGTTTTAACCCAGAAATAGGGTCATCTTTTGATCTGCAAATCGATGTTGTGAGTGCTCAGAATAACGGAGGAGGATGTGACACCTACCAACAATAAGCCCTCCCAGCAGGGCGAAGCCGAAGGTGACAGCAAGGGATATGGCCTGACGACCGCCCTGTGCAGACGGTTGAATATCTCCTTTTGCCACATCAGGGAACACATCTTTCATACTGAAACACACAAAGAGGGAAAAGTCAGCTGATGGGAACAGTCTTTTAGTGTTGTAACATACTTTATGACTCAAATAACTAAATCAAACAGACCCAACAGGTCGTTAGATACAGCAAGCAACAGACTTTGCACCACTAACACCACAGATTAACTCTTTGCAGGTCCTTGCATGCTGACAAAATTAGGAATTTGGGAGCAGCCTGAAGAAAGCTGACATCTATCAGTGTAGTCAAAGTGATGTTATCTGTGACAAAACACACTCCTCTCTGCCCACACAGAGAGATTGTCTAATTTAAACTGAAAAATGTTGAAAATCAGGACAAACCACTGCTGCTGTTTTTGGTCCCGCGACTGAAAACATTTCAGACTTGCTGAGGTCGCTTTACTTCTTCTCTTACATGCTAGAGGCTGAATCTAATGTCACTTATAATACTTAGCCTATTAGCAAATATATACAGTATGTGGTCTGCAAAGAAGAATCCTTAGGTGACCAAGTAAAGTTTTTCCAAACATGTATGATTGATCCTAAACAAAGTTCTCCTTTTGCATTATTAGTTCACAAATTCACAGTTTAGTGTCATAAACTGTTTTTCCCACCCACTGACTTTGTGATGGTGCTGCAGGCATCAGGTGTTTGTGAGAAAAACAGCACAAATCAAATGCTTACCCATTTCCATAAACGTCCGTGCTTGCAACAGCAGCAGTGACAGCTCCTACAATAGCGCCCAGGACACCGGGCATGCCGTGCAGGTTGTGAACCCCACAGGTGTCTTGGATCTTCAGTTTTTCCTCAAGGATGGGCTAAAATGGAGGAAAAGAAGGACAGGCGATGCTGATCATGTGGATGAAATAGGAGGAGAATTGCAACATCACAAAATGAAAGGGATCAGTGCATTTGAGACAAATGCACTGATCCCTTTCATTTTTAACATTTGTTGAACACATTTCACACACACAATTTCATGAATACTCATTATTTTTTTTTATCAAATATCAAATCCCATCCTACAACCACTTAACTGTTCTCTACAATATTTAAATGTAATATCAGGGCAGTGAGTGGGAGATTGTGATTGGGAACATTATGTTATTAGATTTGACCATTTCACAGCAATTTGACAGCAGACACATTAAAAGCACACTTTAAAAATATTTTTTACTGTATGCATGGTTTAGAGGTTCTTTTTGGTCATTTCTCCTTCATGGCTCTGCCTCCAATTTGTCCTTTAATAATTTAACCACAAAACATAAAGTGCTGAGTCATCCTTACTGAGAGGTACTTGAAGCCCAGAACGGAGATGATGCCGGCCAAGAAACCAACAATCATAGAGCCGTAAGGTGTCAGCATCATTTCACCAGCGGTTCCCGCTGCGACTCCACCGGCCAGGGCAGCATTTTGGATGTGGACCTAAAGAGTAGTAAAAGGATGAGACTTAATTTGCTAAATTTTTAATGAATTGTATTTAAGCGATTTGCAGATGCAGAGAAGGTTTGAGTACACTAAAGCAACAGTAAAATACACTTCTTCTATTATACTGACGCTCATTGTCCTGTATTGCACCTATAACTACTATTGGCCTCTAAAAATAACTGAGTATATTAAGGTCCTAGATCTTTTTGTCTGGGAATTTTGATGGTCTAGGATTTCCAGTAGTTTTGAGTCATTACTTTGACATTTGGCTACTGGTAGACCAACAAGAAACAAAGATAATACCTACATACATAATTTCCCCACCAGAATGTCACTCCTTGTTGTACGTAGAATGCTTTGAAACATTTAAACCTTTATGATGAGAAATAAAATGTACAGAAAGTATAATTGAATAATTAACTGAACAAAAATAGTTTAAGAAATCCAGTACATTAAGGAGACTCAGTATTTCTAAAATTCTGACAAGTGCCAGTTCAGAACAGTTCAGAAAAAACAAAACACTAACAATTAAGTACAAATTAGACCACTGACACTGGTGGCTTGAAGTGTACACAGTGAATAAAATGCCAATATTTTACTTAAAAGTCAGCACTTCACTTTAAATGTTGCATGCTCCACATGAGCTGAAAGGTTCAAAAAGGTTGCACTTCACATCTTTGATGATGAACTCATCTAAAAACCACAGACAGGTGTGGTCCCAAGTACAACAAACCACACACATCATTAATGCACAGTAGCTTTACACAACAATACCTTGTGAAATGTGCTGTACAGGGTGTGTACTGATTATGTAGTAACCACTAGACTGTAATCCAAGCAGGATTACTGGCGACTTTGCTTCTAAAATTTATATGGGTGGTGAAAAAGACCCAGTGAGGTCAGAGAAAAAGAAGCTAAATTCATCTCTGGCTACAAGCTGCTAACATTTAATCAATCCAAATTATGTTAGCTAAGATAGCTAGTTAGCCTAGCTGACTATGGAAATGTTCGAATAATGTTGAAGAGAAACGGTTACACACAAACATAATTTAATCTGAGCAAGCAAAATTCTATTCTGTGCTCAACACATCGATATCTTTGGTCTTCCTATTGGTTTCTAAAATGGATCTAACTTTCTATATCTGCAAATATCAGTGAGGAAGCGTTAATGGATCTGCACAGCTGTAAAACTGTCATAACAGATGATTAGATGAGACTTTTTCAACATTTGAGCTACAGGAACTTTCAAACACTGACTCTGTAATTTGATCCAGCCGGTTTCACATGACATGCAGATGAAGCAACAAACAGGTGGAATGCATTAGAGACGAGTAGATTCCTTCAACTGATTACTCTAGCTCATCTTTACTATGAACAAGCAATATATGTCTGCAACCTTGTCAAGTTACTGAACTCGGTATGATTCACTCTTCGGTCGGTTTGATCACTATCAACACAAGAATGTCCCATCTTGATTTCAGGACTATTTACTGTTGATAGCTGAGCATGACAGACGTTTGACTCACATGAGACTCCATGTGACTTAGCCACAACCTACATTTTTTGGGGGGGGGTTCTTCAGATGTCATCAGCTTTTATCTTTTGAGTAACCCTGTCATGAGTTTTAAACTCTGATAAGCTGAGGTTAACCCTGCTGACAAAGTCAAGATGTTTCCAAATCTTTCTTCCATTCTTCCACTTTTCTATGTAAGCAGTCAAGATCAAGATTTATTACACCTGCTGTTAGGCTGTTTTTTTCTCAACCTATACCTTTGCTGTGTTAATTTTGAATGTGAACTGAAAGCTATCATCTTCTACTTCTACAGCTGTGAATCACTTTCTGAATAGCATTTTTACTCAGTAAGTTCTTTAAAGTTACAGATCAAATTCATGAGCAATTATTACTTTTTATTCTTGATTTTGATTTGATTATGGAAACCACAATTTAAATCAGGAATGACAATCCTGTGCCCTCACCATGTCCAGCTTTCCATCGTGTGCTGTGAGGGCGGACATGCCGTAGGTGGACAGAGTGCAGGCTGCCAGGGAGTAGTAGGTGTTCATGGCTGTGCGGTGCTGGTCGTCTCCATGAGCTGTGATGGCAGAGTTGAAGCTGGGCCAGAACATCCACAGGTAGATGGTACCTGAGAAGCACAACAGTTAAAACAACATTCCAATGGTTTATTTCTGTAAGTGAGGATAAAGGGTAAGTTCTGTTGGTCCAGTATTGAACAAGCGTGCTGCAGTGAAACAGGGTTGCAATGTTATCCTTGCAGCCAATTGCACCTTGTAAAAAGTATGTGCACTAAAGTGCTTGTTTTTGTTCAATCTGAGCCCACTGAGGGGCTCAGATTGTTATTATAAGTGTCTGACAACAATATTAAAGGATCCCTACACAGGTAGACCTTTGTTTTAAGCGTATGCTTCTTTCTGTTTAACCCAAAACAGCCACTATGTTGCGTTTGTCAAAGCCAGCAGACTCCCTTGAGGAAAAACATGATGACAATTAAGTTTAACTGAAAAAATTGTTATGGTAAATTTCCAAAACAAATGCACATTTCCCTCCCATTACCACAACGTGATTGCCTGCTGACATTGATCTCAAGTCAAAAGGGTAAAGTCTGAGTGCTAATGAGTCTTTGTCAAGCTGAATCTATAGTCATCTCATGATGAGACAAGTCTGACTAGAGGGCAAGTCATGTGACTCCAGTCCACATTTCTGTTTGGTATCAACAAGTATGGCAAATCTTCTTCTAAAAATCTTAAATTTGTATTCTGAACATGAGACCTCAAGTTTTCTCCTTTCACCAAAGCAATTTTGTGAAGAATACAACTGAATTTCAGGGGAAATTCACACTAAATGTATGGTATGAAGAAAAAGCACTGCTGCACTGATGTCAATGGGTTTGATGGTTTATAGTATAGAAGAATAGTATAGAGTATATTGCACCTATAACCACACCTGACTACACCCACTTGTGATGTAACCTTGTACAGTAGTATTTTTTGAATATTTCCATCCAAACAGAAATGTACTCTTCTGGACACTAACACTATTTCCATTTAAAAGCAAAGCTACAACACTGGGAGATGTTTACCGATCATGGCAAACAGGTCAGAATGGTAGACTGAGCAGTTCTTGTGTTTGCTCTTATCCAGGTGGGGCCGGTACAGGATTCTGGTCACCATGAGACCGAAATAGGCTCCGAACGTGTGGATGGTCATGGAGCCCCCAGCATCCTTGGCCTGAAATAAAGGTAGCCACAACCTGCTTTTAAAAAATAGATATACAGTTTTTTTTGGTGCTAATCAGTTTTTGCTGTCCTGTTTTGCACTAGATTTTTCAGAGAACACACAAAAACAAAGAGATCTTCAGGTAATCACTGCTAGAGTATATTTGTTTTGTGTAACTCACCCCCAAAATAGTCAGCAGGATGAACTCATTCACAGCAAACAGTGTGACCTCGAACATTGCCATGACCAGCAGCTGGACAGGGCTGGTTTTACCCAAAACGGCTCCAAATGAGATGAGCACAGACCCAGTGCAGAAATCAGCATTGATCATACTGAAACAAACGTTAAATTAAATAAATTACTACAGCAGTTTGTGCAGGGCATGGACTTTTAAAGTTGTAGTGTTGTTAAGCAAAGGGTGTTCTTTTCTGCTTTGGTTATGTAGGTATCTGATGTTTGGTCATTTCTGTGACATTACCCTGCCACACAAAGTGATTTAAGATTTAATATTGATTTAAGGTACACTGATATAGTTTATATTACATAAATTAAGCCATAAACACTGCAGATTAAGTCTTGGTCTAGACTAGGGGCTAGACTTTTCAAACATCTTGTGAAATCCATTCAAAAACTAGGCTTAACTCTTCTCTGGGAACAAGCTTACAGTCTCGAATGACTACAGTATGGCATGGCAGTTTGTTTTTGCATTTGTCTGTATTTCTATTGAGCTGTCGTCAGTGAGTGGCAAAAGCTGAAAGCAAGGATAATGAGTTTACATATGTGTGTCTTTGTGGACTTTCCAACATACCTCAGGATGTGTGCAGGCATGCTTATGTGTGTATCTGTGGTGTGTGTACATTTATACATATACAGTATGTTTACTACATACCTCTCCACCCCGATATGGATCTTGCCTCCATGCAGACCATGAAAGAAGCCCTGCATGAGTGTGGCCCACTGTAGGGAGAAGGCCGCGATCAGGAAGTTGAAGCCCACACTGCTAAAGCCGTAACGCTGCAAGAAGGTCATGAGGAAGCCGAAACCGATGAAGATCATCACATGCACATCCTGGAAACCTGCACGATGTAGAAAACACCAGCTACGATTATGGAGATCATGAGCATGGGGGACCAATGGATTTGTGTTAGTTTTGGCAAAATGGACCCAAATGGCTGAAAGGTCCACAGCATTTTGACAAAACATGAAAGAAAAAGACTGACAGACTCATTACATAAAAATCCCTTGTAGCTGTTTTTTCTGAGCAAGTGAAACTACCCCGGGTAATATTGTAAATAAAGAATCATCTGTACAAATAATGCTGTTTTTGACAATTTTGGTAATATTCTGAATTCAATGTGTAATTCCAGTAGTCTCAGGTCTGGTTCCATTACCTTGAAATAGTACTTTCACTTTTTTTTCGGGGTTTTTTTGTTTTACCACTAAGAAATATTTGTAAGGGCCGCATATTTTTCTGCTATGCAGATAACACTCATCTCTCTATAGATGATCTCAGGCCAATATTGAAAAAATGCGTCAAGAATTACTGTACTCAGGACACACATCTCAGCACATTATAACCCCAATATATAACAATTATAACTATCAATTCATTTTGTGAACATTATGAAAAGCATTGAAGTTTTGCAGAGCCATCAAATTGCTTCTTTTGAGTGACTAACTGTCCAAAACCCAAATTTAACAATGATATAAAACTTTTAAATGACTTGGATGATTTGTTGATTATCAAAATGGTTTTTGATTAAGTTTCTGTTGATTAATTGATCATTATTTCTCTAATTAACTCTGATGTAATTTTCCAGCTATATATTATAAACGTAACTTTTAAAATTTCATTTTTAGTAATAACTGTAAAACATCTGAACTTTCCTCCTTATCTGTTTGGTTTTTAAACTTCTAAACGAACTATTAAAGATGAAACACAAATCCACTAAGTTGTTGGACAACAAAGAATTGCAGCAGAGTGCCAAGGAGATATAAATCATTTAGATCAACTCCACAGAAACATTCAATCACTGCCAACAACTGTGTCACTGGAGGGCTTTGTCATTGAAAGCAGCCTGAGCCATTCTCTGTGAATAAGTACAGTTACATAAGCTTTGATCAATTGGGACTTCAGGTTCAGCTGTGACTCAGGTCTGCGCAGTGTGACTCTGGAACATTTGCAAAGTGGCCTTCCATAGTGATATTCATGTTAAGAAACTCTATGTTATCAAAATATAGCTGGTTAACTGTGCAAAAGTCTTTCTATTAAGAACTCTAAAAGCAGAGATAATGAACTCCCTCAACTTGCACCGTGATGTTTCCTTCCCCCCTCATTGTCCTGGTTCACACTGTTTGTTAGAACCACTTTCTAACTCTCCCTTATTTGTTCCAACCTGCCACACACAATATCGCACTGTGCTGCGGCGGCTGTCGCCATGGTGACCATCAATTTGCACAGCCAGGCGGAGGTGTTGCCACTGTCCCCATTGGCATTTTGGCCCAGATATCTGCACTGATATCGAGGAGGACACTATACAGTCAAAGCTATGACAGGCTCTGCAGGCAATAACTAGTGCTCACTGTAAAACTAATATATTCTGCTGATGTGTTCTTTTTTATGCCTATGGGATTAAAATATTCTTCAGCTCATTTAGACCATATTTTGATAAATAATACCTCCCAGTAAATGTTAAAACTATATCAACGTACCCCAATGTATAGGGGTTTTTTTATATTAAAATGTCATATAAAACAACAACTTATGGTTTCACAACAGGACAAGTTTTTCTGCTGTAGGGATCAAATCTGTGACCTCTCAGACAACCACGGGATATCCTAGTTCATCACTGTTCAGGTGATCTGTTGCACTAAAAGGAGACTTGCAAGGTATATTTTCGGTTGACATACTTACTCTCACAGGAACATATAGAACAGACATTGGCTTTAAGATCACCAACACAGTGAATATAGCGGCACACGATCCTATGTGTGTCTATTTGTCTGTCTCTACCCTGCCCTAGGTGACCTGTAGAGTGTGAATTTCTGTTTATTGTACATTGTTTTCCAGGCATGCAATTAGGATGGAGGATGTTGGTTGTGTATACACAGCACTGAAACGTGAAGGTGATTCAGCTCCTGTGCCAGTGAAGGTGTCAAGTTAAACATTATCTGAAGCCATTAAATCTAATGGACCTTTACTCTAGGCTGTTATGTTTCTAACCTCAGGCAGTCTGTTACCTTCTGTGGTTTGAAATAGTGCTGCAGAGACGTGAATGTTCTTGTATCAAAATCATTGCAAAAGGGCTGGGGTGGATATGAGGTAAGTATAATGTTGGAATTGTACAAAAAGTCTTTAAAACTTTTGGAATAAAAAATTTCGTTAGTGATTTGGATAATTTTAATAATGCTGTACACCTACTATTTATTCCGTTTATTATTCCCCATCATTTCTTTCTATATTGGTTACATTTCTCTTCCCCAGGACACTATACTCCATACACCTGTGATAGAGTGAGAGACTCCATGGTAGAGTTCTTCTGAAAGTGTGACTTGCTAAGACACGCACAGCAGCCCTCAGTCATGTTACTTAAAACCCTGATAGGCAACGTTGGAGATCTAGCAAGAGACAACAATATTCAACCAAAAAATCCTACCCCCTCCTTTCAGGCCTCCCTCCAAAGCCACTTCCCCAAAACACAAATTAATGCGCAGTGAGTGCATGGGAAGTGCGCGCACAGGTAGGCCAGCCGATCATGTAATTTGGTTCAAAAACAAACTACATATTCACATTACACTGCTATATATTGATTTTGGGCAGAGCATACCACCTTATGCACAATAAGTGTCAGTGGCCAGATAATGTGTTTTATGAAAGCAGTAGCGAGCATTTTACAGCCTGCAATCAGAGGCCTGTGTTTTCCCTACAGTCTGTGAATGAAACAAGCTTTTTTCTACACCATCAATCCCTATAAATCAGGAAATGAATGATCAATGGAACTGCCTCTTTGGGACAGCAGCAGACCGGAAGACAACTCTATAAAATATTCACTCAGAATGAATGGGAACTGTCCAATTACGGACTGCGGCTCAGGCACTTCTCATCCCTTTGCACAAAATAAAACACTTTCCTGCTGACATAAAAGGGTTAACAGTTGACAAAAACATTGTGAATATGTAAATGAATCAGGGCAGCGTGCAAAAATGGCATACTTACATGTATTTAAAATCACTCAGAGAGCATGTAAGAGAAATTAGAATTTTGTTGTTAGAGAATTATGTTAAGCGTCATTAGAAAAAAAACTCAAAATAAGATTACTCAAAACAAAAAACGAAGGCAACCCCCCTCCCCCCCCCACACACACACACACACACACACACACACAATATTTGGTACTACTGCTTTAAGATCTGCAAGTGTGAAAAAGTTACCACCCCTTAATTTAAAAACTGTTAAGCCTTTTTTTTAAAAAAACTAACTTTTGAACATTATTTTTCAAATCGTGTCAGTAACTCTCTAAACATCATCTTAAAAACTGTTAATAGGTTTTTAACAATCTGCCATGGAGTCTCTGTTGATTCAAGGGTGACATTTGAGACCAGTGTAAAAATCTTTCAAACCTGTTTGTGAACATGCATACGATAGTGACTTTTCCTGCTCTCTTCCACTCTGTCATTTGAGAAAATTGACAGGAGAAAGTTAGTTACATGCCTCGTTAATATTTGCACTGGAGCCTAAAAGCGGAGTGTTTTGCTCTATCAACAGATAATACTGAAATACTTTTTTTTCGTATTTTGTATGTAAACATTTGTTGGCTTGATTATGTTCCTGTATAATAAAAAGAATAAAGTAGTGGTAAAAAGGCATCATGGCGATTTAATGTCTCTTCTCTAATCAACATGCAAACAATTGCAAAATACAAGATACACTAGCATTAGTTCCTTGTGTATTTGTTGTTATATATAAAATTTGCAATTATTTTGTTGAATTAAAGCACACATTCCCATCAAGTTGACAGTGTCACAGTGTGTAATGTACAAACCTCAGGTTTTAATGAAACTTTGCTAGATGCTTCATCTAAACAGTATACAGATTGGGAATCAAAGCATCTTGACCCCTTTAGCCTATGACCCTGAACCTCCAGACATCCAAAGGGCACTCACTTGGGTAGCGGTAGTAGAACTCGTTGTCATACTCCGAGTGGTTGTGACTATGCCACTTCCTTGCGTCCGTATCCTCGTCATACTCCACCAACACGCCGAAGAGGATGATGAGGATGATCTCCAGGATGAAGCAGATGATCGGCAGCTTCAGCCGCATGTTGGTTGCTGCGCCTGTCATGATTTCTTCCCAGTGAGGTGTGGAGGAAAGGCTAAATGTGGCTCGTTCTTTGAGTCAGGGATAATAGGTATATAAGATCCAGCACCAAACGTTAGCTCTGTCTCTCTCACACACACCCTGGGGTGTCCTCAGTGCAGAGATGGGAGCCTGGTGTGTGTGTGAGAGGGTAGGGGAAAAGAAGCTCACCGACAGACACAAGAGCTGGTCTTGTGTGTTTTTGTTCAGTTGGGTCACACCTACTAGACCTGCCTCCCACATGAATAATGCAGGCTTACTTTTAGCCCTGCCTCCCTGCTACTGTACTTTTGAAGGTGATCAGAAGATTTTAAACTGACCTTAAAAATCAGATTAAAGTAGTAATCCATTACTATGCGATAGAAAGTTTCTGTTAACTACTTCAGGGTTGTAGTCTGGGCAATATTGTTTTCGCCAGCTGCTCTGCTCATTACCTGCAGTAAGTTAGCGCTGATATTGCTTATGCTAACTCACCATTTTCTGCATGTGTTTCACAGTTAAGGCAAAGGCAATAAATACACAGTAATATCACAGAAATGTGACAATACTAGCATGGTTAGCTAACAAAGATTGACTTCAGGAAATTTCTTTGCAACATTGCAAGGACAACTAAAAATCACATGAATACAGGTGAAATCTTTACTAATAGTACACTGGGCATACATGTGCCGGTATAAACAGGAAGCAGATTGTCTATGATTTGGCGAAAGAGGAAAGTTGCCTACTACTATAGACCATACACTGCATACAGATAAACAAAATAGCAATGGCAAATAACCACACCAGAGATTTCTTTGAATGGACTGACACCAAACCATACTGAAAGCAACACGGGAATACAATGTACAAGTTTTAGGTCTTTGCATTGTCCGTTTTAGTCCGGTGCAAACGCAGCAAAACGTCTGCGTAAATGAAAATGTAGTAGTCTGGATGTGGATGACACTCGACTTCCCACATGGCTTCAATATTGACTTAACTGGCAAATGGATGCAAGTTCTGTGTGAGTGGGGAGGGGTATAAGGTGTGGTGTATGAGTATGAAACACAAATTAAAAACACAACAATGTCAGTCAGCAGGCCAGAGGAAGAGAATGGGAGGATGTGGCATGGTCTCAGCTCCACCCATTAATTTCTTGGAACAAAGGGAAAAACACAGCCAACAACGAAGAGCAAGAAAGGGCCAGCCCTAAGTCCATCAACTCCACTCCCTAAAGACAGGGTTCACACCTTGGACCTTGACTTGTGCATTAATCTATTTACATTATAAACAAACTTGTGATGTGCTTGGCTTAAACACAACCCCCTTACCAAACACACCTTTGCTCGATACTCGATACTCCTCCCCTCTCCAGACTTGGAATCTCCAACCTCAGCCTAGACGATGTTGCGCCTAGGAACAATTTAAAAGGAAGGGAAATGGGTGCCATGTCATTAGTTAAGTTGCAAAGACTTATAAAAGGTGTGCGGGAGAGAGAAACAGGTGAGTGTGTTATGGACGGTAAATACTATAATTGGTATTCTGGAGTCAAGGTAGACAGGCAAATGCCCAACACAGTCGTTGATAAAATGTTTAAATGGGTTGTCCGCTGCAGGGATCGGCCAAAGTGGGGCAAGCTTAATATACAGATTTAACATGGTACCACTATATGGGCCCTGCGATGGACTGGCGACCAGTCCAGGGAGTACCCCGCCTTTCGCCCGATGTCAGCTGGGATTGGCTCCAGCCCCCCTTGACTCAGTACGCAGGATAAGCGGATGGATGGATGGACCACTATTTGGAAAACTGGACCAGCAAATTGCAGGTTTGATTTATAACCTCCTGAGCCCAGCCTGCTCATGGGACAAAACACAGCTAACAAGGAAGAGCAATACAGGGCCAACCCTGAGGCCATCCCATGTCACATGCCGCTCTGTGAGGCTGTAGTTAAGTAGTCACAGTAGTGCTTTGAGCTAAATGCTAATATCCGCCTGCTAACATTCTCACCTTGACAACATTACAATGTTTACAACATTCATGTTTAGCTGGCTAAACAGTCTGTTCTGTTTCATGGCAGTCCATCCAGTTGTTGTTGACATATTTCAGTGCGGATCAAAGTGGTGCACGGACTGACAGACAGACAGACTTTCCCAGAGCCATGCCACTCGCAAAGCATAGTGTTTAGTAAGGTTATGTTCTAAAGCATGATATTCAATAATAAGATAATAATAATAATCTAAGTAATTTTAATTGTGTTTTGGTTTACATCCAAGATTAGCTTCCCTTTCTAAGCCTGTTGGTTCGGGTTCACCATGTTTAGAACCCATTTCAATAGATGCGGTTCTTAATAGAACAAGTGGAAGTTGTGGTGGTCTTTTTAAAAGATACCTATTTAATTAAACATATAAAACAAGGATCACTCTTGGGACATGCTGTGTGTACCCTGTACATGTTATCCTTGGGGCCCTGCGATGAATCTGTCCAGGGTGTACCCTGCCTTTCGCCAGATGTCAGTGGGAATTGGCTCCAGTCCCTTCCGTGACAATGAATGGATGGACGGATGGATGTTACCCTTAGGACAGATCATCCGTAATCACAACATATCCTTGCTATGCAGATGATACACAACTGTACCTGTCTTTTGTTGAAGTTCCAGAATTTCTTAAAGCTAAAATTGTTTCAGACAAATACAGTCACTCATTGCCCCTTCACTCCCAAAATAAAGTCAGCAAAATCTGGGTGTTACCCTGGATAGTAACTTATTCCTGAATGCCGAAATCACTTTGCTTAATGTGAGGTCAGTTTCCAACAAAACCTTAATTTTAAATGACTAAGGATCGACTAAGGACCCTGATATTTTATTTTTAGGGCTTGGCACATTATTATCGCGTTAAACATTAAATAATTAATGCCGACAATTATTTTATCGCACGTTAACGCAGTTTATTTTATTATTATTAGTTTTTTATTATTATTATTAGTCCTTGCTCACTGGCTCTGAATACACATACAGTCAAACTATGGGTCACAGGAGGGGTGGGATGTTGATCAGCCTGCAAATCACCCACCCAAACAAGCAGTGGAGGGAGGCTTCATCTTTTTTCCGTATTTTTCCACCCACGATCCGTTATCATGGCAGCAGGTGAGCCGCTTGCTTGTTAATGACGCAGCCTATCAAACAACTGAAACAGCCAAAATCAACATCTGCACCCTGTGTTCAATGTTGCTTTACGTTACCTGGTCTGTGCTTGTAAAATATCCACCGCAACTGTGTGAGACGCTCTGGGGCGTCCCATACAGACGCTAGTTCGCTAGCGGTAGCTAGCTAGCTAGCTACGTTCGTGATAAAGGTGTTGACAGTCCCCCGAAGCCCCTACCCTTACCACAACCATCAGAAATGTTAGTACTTAAATCTAAGTCACTGACTTTATGCATGTCGACCGGCTAACCCTACAGCTGCGCACATCAGGTAGGGTTAGCCCATAGACAGTATATTACTGGACGAAGCCACCCCGCTGATTTGAAAGGAGAAGAGTGAAGCCTGTTTTGGACCAATAAAATACTACTACAGGGCTACTTCCTGTTGGCACCAGCATCTACTGCGCATGATCGCGCAGCATAACCGTGGTTTAATGACGTAGAACAACGGCACCGTAATTCTGGTAGCTGCACCAACAAAAAGTTTCATGGCTCAGTGCGTTCGTCTGACTAGGATCGTCACTGATTAATCAGCTCACCTACAAGGCTCACCTGTGAAACACCAATGATGGCCGAATAGTTTTTTTAGATTGCTGAGAGCTTATAATCTAAGCAATAGGGTTACATCTGTCATGTGCGACGGGGTGTCACAGGGTTTTGATGTCATTTTTGGGCCTACATGGATCCCTCCATGAAGGCTTTGGTCGGCTTCACTATCCAATCTCTGGCTTACCCCCTTGGGTTAGCCTCCCTTGTGTTGCTGCAACATAGCAAACGGGGGAGTTTCACACGGACTCTGACCCCTAACCCTACCTTTAGCGTAAAATCCTTACGCTTTGTCACGCTGTCTGAAAGCGTCAGTTATGACACACTGAGATGAGAATGTGTTGGATGCTGATACCTGTTCAGAAAAAAAAACAAACAAGAAAATTGGACTCTGATGGGAACTTGTTTTAACAAGCTAGATAAAAGGTAATGCCCTGGCAGTGGCAAATAGCTTTGGTTTAATATTTGATTTGATTACATATTTTATTGCTACTGTGTAAAGGGAATACTGCTGGCACCTTATTTGTTTAAAGTGTTTGCAAACCAGATGTTATTACACTTTTGTGTGTATAGCAGTACATTCAAATTAAAATTGTCCAATACACTATTTTAGAATTCATTATTTAATTTTACACGTATTAATCGCAATTAAATATTTTCATCGTTGCACAGCACTACTTATTTTTAACAGAAACATGGTTAAGACCAGTTGATCACTGCCAGTTAAATTAACTCTGTCCTCCACTCTTGGAATCCTTCAGCTCCCCTTGGGAAAGTTGCTTGCTGTAATTTTCAAAGATCATTTCAGGTGTGGCCTTATTCCTGTTAATAATTTAGCAAGTTTTGAGGTAATGATGTTTAAATTTAACTCTGTTGTTCCAGTTCTTTGTTTTTTATCCTCCGTGGCTATGAAATTGTGATCGTTGGGTTTAACTTTCATGTTTAAAAGATTTTAAACCTTGATACAAACCAGTTTTTAAATATTCCTGCAATTTTGTCCAACATGTGCATGCACAATGGTGAAGTAGCAGGTAGTAACAAGTTTCTTAAAATCACGCTTCTTCTAAAATAGTAGTAGTAGATGTGAGTACAATGTGTGTACTATTGTGTATAGTATCTGAATCTGAACCTGTGTTGTACCAGATATTTTTAAAACTGTTTGTGTTCAACCGCTGCTAAAGGGACATGGGTTAGATCCACCAAACATTTGGTCAATTTCCAAACTATCAAAAATAGACGTGCAGAAAACGGTGAGTTAGCATCAGCAATATCAGTGTTAACTTACTGCAGGTAATGAGCAGGGCAGCTGGCAAAAATCATATTGTCCAGACGTAATGTAAATTACCGTTTTCCTTGTACTTAGCCAACAGGAAATGTTTTGTTTCTGTAGGTGAATTTCCCTCACAGCCTGTCAGACAAAACATGGAATATTACAAGGGTCAATCTTTGGACCTGTTCTGTTTAC